GGACAGGTTTGAAGACGCTGATGGCTGGAAGGCGGGCAAATTTGTGTTTCAAAAAGTTCATCAGAAGCTCGTACGTTAAAAGGTAGCGAACGATCGAGGTTAAGAAAGATATCCCTGGAAAGCGCAACAATGATATTGAACAAAAGTCTAGCAGTCAATTCTCAGCAGATACATGATAAATAAATTACATTTATGCACAAGAAGTGGACTTATGCACTTGCTACCGCAGAACAAACCATGTCAGGATGTTGACATACATGGAAACCAGTGATATCATGAGTTATCCACCGTAAATTGCAGTGAAACCTCCCATTTCTGACCACCGGTGCCATATCCCCCGCCCAGTCGATTCTTGATCAAGCTGGAGATTCGTTCACGTAGTCGTACCAGGTTCTCCTCGGAACCAGACACCCGAAGTTTCAGATTTGCCATACACAATCCATAGTGGACTTGCCAGAACCTCGCATCGTCAATGCCAAAGACAGACGGATCTGCTTCAATATCCTTAATCACATCCGAGACCCCTGTGCCTGAATAGGACATGAGAAGCATGGATCCCAGGTTTTTGACAAGGCGAACACCGATCACACACATGGAGATGGAAATAGTGACGGACAGAAGAACATCAAGCCATTTGTAAAGCTTGATGGACACCAGAGGGAGAAGCAGCAGCAGTGTCGAGCACGAAAGGGTGAGAAAATGAGATGGGTTGCTGAGAACAGATGGCAGAGACTCAATGTATCCAAACCGCATTGCCTTGCTCATTCGTGCATGGTTCTTTAAGCCAATTGCAGAGACCAGGGTCGACGAGATGGCAAGCACAGCAGTGATGTCTACACTGCCGACAGAGACGCGCTCATGAGCATGGGTATGGTGAGGCTCATGGTTGTTGCTTGACTCAAGAAAGTGCTGAAGGTTGTGGGAGATGAGGTCCATTCCCATGAACAGTAGCAGCACGCACATTGCGAACCCAGCAAGTACCTCTGCTCGTTCCAGCCCGAATGGATGGCGAATGGAAGATCGTTTCCACACCTCAAAGTTGCCCAATACATCCACAGCTACGCAGAGCAATGCTCCAAGAGAGTCGAACAGAATAAGGTGAGACAACGCTGTCATAGCCAAGGATCCATGTGCGCTCCAGAGCGTGTATGCGGCAACGAACATATGGCAGACACTCCACCAGAACCGCGTCTTCTGGTCTTTCGACATGCTAGAACGACATTCTTTGAGCGTGGGGATAGGTAGCGAATTCGGAAGAGCCAACGGAGCTCGGGGAGGAGGCTCGAGGAATATTTGATGCGATATACTGCTATGCTTATACTTGTGTCCACGTCGCTGGCCAATGTTCTACCGAAATTCCGCGCAAGGCAATTAGCGTTCCAGGGAAATGAGCGAGAAGGTGCAGTTAAAGCATGCACTTACAGATTTCATTACCGGGCCCTTCGCCATAGTTGTGGTCTGAAAGTTGAATGGCCCAGCAGAGCCATTGCCGCTTGCACCATTCTGTACAGAGCCATCCGTTGGACTTGGTTTGAAGGATGACCTGGTAGGACTCAAACGGTCCCGATCTTCCACGTTCAATCCATTTTGAGAGAAATTGTCGACCATTGGCGACAACACATCTTTATCGTAGGATACAGCGAACCCCCTTTGAGGCTGGCCGTCTGTCACGCTCGTGGGATCATCCGAGGGTGGAGTTGGCGTGCGCGGCGGGCGAGGAATGGGGAGGTTCGATGCCATAGCATCTAGCAGAAGAATGTCGACGCCTGCGCCAACAATGTACGACGAGATATAGTCTGGTTGGCAAAGTAGATTCCCCGGACACAAAGACCGGAAGGGATGATTTGGAGCAATGCCGATAGGAGATTGCTCCAACTCCCAAAGCACACGCACTCTTCCGACCGATGGTTATCAGGAGAGAGCGGGTAAAGGCGGGGAGACTGCGGCGGCGGCCTGAGGCCTCGACTCACTCATCGCATCATTGACTCTCGCCTCCACCGGCGTCCGGCATCTCTTGCCATTGATTACAGCTTTAAATCATCATCATCTATTCGACAGGCTTTTTTGCCTGGCCATTACGACGGTGCTGTATAAATGGAAACTCCGTCGTGAACTAGCGATGCGATCAACATAGGTCGCACTCTGAAGGAGATTTGAACGGGATCCCCGATGCCTGCATCGCTTCGTGGCATCTATGGATAATCGCGGTTCCTTCTTTTTCCTGCTGATCGTTTTTTATCTTCTTCTCAGCTCGCAGTCTCGTCCACCGTTACTTGACCAGGATCGAGAGCGTCAGCGGGAAGTAGCAAGGGAACGAGATGCACTTCGTTTGTTGAATGAGTCCAACTATGGGGACTTTGACCCGTCGGGTGAAAAATGGCTTCCTTTTGCGGGGACCAGGAAGAACGACAGTTATGCTTGGGGTATTCTCCCGGAAGCTCAGGGTAGAGCTCGTCACCAGTTACGATCCGCCATTTCAAATGCTGGGCTGCAACCTCCCAGATCTCTAGAAGACCCCGACTCTTTACCTTCCCTGAATCTAAGTCAGTTGTTACTCCCGGTCTATCGCAATGCGACAGGGAAACTGCGTGGAGATTGGGTTCGCCGCAAGCTGGACAAAGACTCTCCGAAACTCAACGCTACAGCTATCGCTTTGGAGCACGAATACTTCACCCGCGAGTTCGGTTTGAACATCACTGGTAGCAGCGGAACTTTCTACTTGGATCTCAGGGAAGGCGGAGGCGAAGAGCTTCGGGTAGATAGCGGCCAAGTTCGAGAGATACGAGCGACATTGGCTGTCGAAAGCAATGACTTTTGGGGAAATACCTGGTATATCTCCTTATTCGGTGTCCATTTTCCAGAGACGGGAGGCATCATCCTGAGTTCAAATAGCGAGAAGTTTGAGGGGTTGTTCGTGCTGCCGCATCTGGCTTTCTCTTCAGACGCGTATGAGCTTTCCCATCAGCTTCTCCTCAAGTCACTCTCTGATACCTTATCTGAGAAAGAGAATCGGCCTCCGACACTTTTCCCGTGGTCGTCCTTAATTGGATCGGAGCAGGTAGAATTCCCTGCACCGAAGTGTGAACATATTGTTTACCTGCAACAACATCCAGTCGCTATTCATGACTCCCTAGCGGATAAGCCAGTGGTTGACCAGATAGAAGAGGAGCTAAGATTCCCAATCGGGGCTCCGGTACCGCCTGCGCCGTTAATGGTCATGTCTGCCGTGGTATTTTCTCCGGACTGTGGGTATATCCTCGAGACCAAGGGAACCCCAGACTTCCCTCCCAGCGAGGCCCTCTATCTCACGGGCCCAAAAATTGAAGAGTACGACAAATACAGTGCGCGTCTCGTATTTATCATATGCGGAGTGTTTGCTGCACAAATCACACTACTTCTGAGACAGATCAAGGAGGCGTCGACACCTTCCACCAGGAGCCGTATCAGCTTCTATACAATTGCTCTTATGGCCTTTGGGGATGCTTTTGTTCTTATCTTCATTCTCTTGGAGCTGTATCCGGCGGTATCCTTCTTGGTCATGGCGACTGCGGCGTTTCTCACGTTCCTGTCGGTCAGCTACATTGGTATGAAATTCATGATGGAGATCTGGGCCGTCCAAGCGCCCGAACGCAGGGAGCAAGAGCGTCGCTCCAACCCTTCGGCTTCAACTCCGCGTACAAGAGGCCTACCTCTCCCAGTGACATCGCCCCCGGTAAGAGACACTGGCGCAACGCCCATCATATTGACTCCGGATCAAGATCCTCCTGCCGAGGAAGATGATCAACCAACCGACCGTGGCTCTACTTCAACGGCTCAAGAAACTCGCAACGACGTCGGTGCGATGTACGCACGATTCTACTTTGTCCTGTTCGTGATGCTCATTGTTTCCATATGGTCTTTCCTTTGGCCGAATCGGCTAGGAGCCTTATATGCGCGCTCTCTCGCTTTTGTCTATCTGTCTTTCTGGACCCCGCAGATTGGCCGCAACATCATGCGGAACTGCCGTAAAGCGCTCCGGTGGGATTTTGTGATCGGGCAGAGCATCCTGCGACTCTTCCCGTTTGCGTATTTTCTAACAGTACGTGGCAACGTGCTGTTTGTACGCCCAGATACGAGTACTGCTTTTGCGCTAGCAGGCTGGGTGTGGATTCAGGTCTGGATCCTGGCTAGTCAGGACATTCTCGGACCGCGTTTCTTCGTCCCTCGAGGCTGGGCCCCGCCAGCGTATGACTATCACCCAATTTTGCGAGACGCCGATGAGACTGAGGCAGATCTGGAGTCTGGCGGTGTCGTACCAATCGGCGCTCTTAGGGCTGAGGATCTTTCCGGCGACGCGAAGGATGAGGACAAACAGCGGATCAAGGACAGAAAAAAGGCGGTTTTTGATTGCGCCATCTGCATGCAGGAAATCGAGGTACCTGTTCTTGCAGCGCGTGGAGCCGCCGGAGGCAGCAGTGTCACGGATGGAGCTACAAGCATCCTCAGTCGTCGCACTTACATGGTGACGCCTTGTCGACATATTTTCCACAGCACATGTCTCGAGAGCTGGATGCGATTACGACTCCAGTGCCCCATATGTCGAGAGTCTATCCCTCCTGTATAGATGTATCATAATGGCCTGTCTCGGATAGCACTTTTTGCGCAGTGGTACAATGTAATTAGCCTGTACAAATTGAATGGCATTATGAGCGATTATTGTCGTAGAGGCAAGATAGCCAAGTTTGGGACTACATCGACTTCAAATATCAGAAAATAATCAGACATGTTTCATATAAATATATCAAGATCTGAACATGTTTGGTTTCTAATAAGGGCCTTTCTTGTTGAATAAAGACCAGCCGCTGGCGGCTCAACAATGATGTCACACATAATACGCATCAATCCGTACAACATTCCAGAACACAAAGAGGAGCCGTCATTTAACATCTAATAGACCGGATGAGTTTTATCCCATTATCCAATTTCCTTCACGAGCAACAGTCGATCAATCGTCATTACAATTAGTGGTCTTCGTCGATGCTCTCCTTGTAGGCGGCCTCATCGAGTAGACCATCCAGCTCCGCAGCGTCACTGACCTCGATCTCGGCGATCCAGGCCTCTCCCTCCGGGCTCTGGTTGATGAACTTGGCATTGTCCTCGAGAACACTGTTCCCCTGCACAACCTTTCCGGCGACGGGAGACAGGACGTCCGAGGCCGACTTAACGGACTCGACGGCACCCACGGCCTCACCGGCGCTAACCTCAAGGTCGGCGGTGGGAAGCTCTACATACACGACATCACCAAGAGACTTGGCGGCGTACTCTGTGATGCCGATCTTGGCTGGTGAGGGATTGAACTGTTAGTAGCTGTAGAGCGGAAGATTGGGCTTGTTGTGATGCGACAGGAGCAAAGGACTCACCTGTCTTGCCGTCTTCGCCCAGCTCAATCCACTCGTGAGACTCGGTGTACTTCTTGACTTCCACTGCGTAGCATTATAGACGTTAATATAATGCTTTGTCTCAAGAATAGCATCTCAATGGCTTCATGAACGCTGAACTGAGTCATTTCTTACAGAAAGGGCTCTGAGAGAAGCTCCTGACACTTCCCCGCGGGAAACACAGAGTGGGCGAGGCCCTGCGGACGCTGGAGGTCAGAGGAGCCTTCTGCGAAAGCACGCGAGCAGCGAAAGGACGGAGGGATCTGGCGACGGTAGACATTTTGTTTTGGAAGCTAAAATTTAGAGGAAAGAGAGACAATCGCAAGGAGAGGAGAGTTTGAAGAAGATGGAAATGGATGATGATAAACCCGCCGAGGAGAAATCGCGATTAAATGGAACTGCGAACTAGCTTTCCGAACTGATAGGCGATGCCAAGACCAGCTGATAAGGAAACTCCCGTCCTGTTGTCCGCAACGCCGGAAGGGAAAAGTAGTTGGTCTAGGTGGTGACCGCTCCCGAAAATCTCCTCCCCAAAAACGCCATTCAATCTCCGAAGCGTCGTCCACAATCACTCCGTCGATGCGATGTTGTATGAACTGATTGCTGTTGTGAGTATATCCTTTGTCGCCTTCTTTTAGACATATCTTCGGCGTCGAACTAACGTCCTCAGGTCCGCCCAGGCAGCCTCAACGAGGTCCGGGAGTACGTCTCTCATCCCACCCCGCCCTTCCTTTCGAAATGGCACATATATCCTTCTTTTCTACATTCGAATGCTCTCTCGGGCAGAGTATGGACTCCAGACTAAATGATGAACAGGATCGCTCGTAATGCCGGCATTCAAGTCCTCCGATCAGGCGGCGTAGTCCGCGGATACACAAACTGGGGCACGTTCCGACTGCCCAAACCCACCACCAAACATCAAGCTCGGTACACCGACGGCCATCACTTCATCATGCGCTTCGATGCTTCCGGCGCTGTTCAGTCCGCCGTCCGCAGAACCCTCGGTCTCGACCCACGGATGATCCGATTCTCAGTCGTGAAGTTGGGCGACAAGCTTGAGGAGATCAAGGGCGTAGAGGGAAAGGTCGAATGGACTAATGCTCGCAAGCTCGCTGATTCCATCTGAATGTGTATAACTATTCTGGATTGTCGAGATCGGGCAGGGGGATTGACGTCGAGTCGCGTTGGTTTTTCTGGAATTTGAATGCTGGCATTGCGATATCATTGTATCATTTATGGGACTGGGTCTATCTGTACTATCATACCAACATTGCAGGCGCATAGAGATTGAATTTTCTTTCCGAATTGGAACCCCTTTTCTCCGTTTTTATGTAGCTTAAAGATGAGCATTTTGCTCATTGTAATTTCTTTCACGTGACCAGCATATCTCCAGGACCCAGCTTTCAAAACCATGAACAGGAGAAGGCACTTGCTCAGGGCTTATAAAACATAGCAATTGTCTGTCTCGTCTTTACTCTCTTCTATGTCTGATGGGAGGATGCCACGTTGGCATTCAGCGCATCGCTTCTTACCGATCAGCCGAGGTTCTTGTGTCGGCTGAGGAGATGATCAACTGGATCTGATCTAGCTATCACTTTACGAACTATATAATTGTGTCGAACGACCACTGTGCTCGGATGCATACTTTCTGCTGGAACATAATACCCTGCTTGCAAGATCCTTGATCCAAATCTGATCCTGCACCGATCTGCTCTTGTGCTCCATGAACGGAAAATCAACCTACCTTCCCCGCACAGCATCATGGGTTCGCAAAAAGATGGGCCTAACCGTTCAGGAAAACTGCCCTTTCGTGCCTCCTTTGTCGAATTAATGAGCCTCGAACGTCTCGACTCGCCCAGCAGCACTACGGAAGCACCAGAGAAGGCCGAGCGGTTCCAATCTCTCGCGGCCCCGTACCCTCCTGGCATGCGCGAAATGGCATTTGGCGGGCATGTTTACGCCCAATCCGCATATGCAGCGTCGAAAACCGTCGGCAAGGGGTTTGTAATACACGTAAGTCTACTACCTTGGAACACTCGCCATGAATAGCCGATTGAGATGAGCATCCAGGACATGACGGGCACGTTCATTCTACCGGGCCGACTGGACGTTCCCTACGTATATACAGTTCGCCACATACGAGATGGGAGCATGTACTGTACACGCGCTGTCGACGCACGACAGAATGGCAAGATCTGCTTCTCGTGTTTGTGCTCGTTCAAGCGTCCCGAGGGGCAACAGACGTTCCACCATCAGCCGGCCCCGGCACAGGAACGCTTCAAGTCTCTTCTTGCGGGGAAAAAGCCAGGGGATCATCTGCCCAGTCCTAGCGTTGATGCGGACTGGTGGATTGAACAAGTTCAGCGGGGGGATATTGCTGAGCCAGAGTTTCCGGGGCTTGATGTGACGAAGGTGGATATGACGAGCTACAATGCCACCGAGGAGGTGAAGCAGAGCCCGGAAAATTATCGCCAGTTGACGCTGTACGCCCTCAAGGGGTCACCGCAAGACCCAGATGTTGCGTGGAGCAAGCAGGACCTCAAGCACAGAGAGAAGACGGGCGAGTTCGATAACCTCTATGCCTGTGCGCATATGTATGCGAGCGACAAGAACTCACTCCTTTTGATACCACGTGCGTTGGGCCACGAGACATGGTCTGCAATGGCCAGTTTAACGCTGACCGTGGTTTTTCACCACCATGGTGAAGCGCTGAGGATGATTGACTGGGATGCAGGGCAGGCAGAGGATGGAAAGGGTTTGCCCAGGAAATGGTTTATCCAGGAAGGCTGGACGCCTACGTCTGGAGAGAATAGAGCTATTCATGAGAGCTATTTGTGGAGTCCAGAAGGGGTATTGCTCGCCACCAGTTATCAGGATAGCCTGCTCAGGCTGGAGAAACCGGGCCGTGAGAAACTATAGAATAATGATATGTAGATATGTATACAGGGTTAGTATAATTTGCTATCTATAATTGCAATAAAGTTACATTCCGATTGCACCAAAGGCCAATAACATAGTAGCTGCCATGATAAGCGACGCTGGACGCCATCCATGGTTGATGGGGTTGCTCGATAGACCAGTTGATGGGGTTGCTCGATAGACCATGTGGAGAGTTGATCCTGCGTGCCCGCGTGGAACTGCCTAGCAGGGCCTAATCCAGTGGGGGACATTTCCGTTACTTGATGAACCGCTGGAGATTTAAACTTCATCTGCCCATCTATGATTCAACAATACGTCTTTTATCCTTCAAGTCAGCACAGAGAAATATCCATATAGGAGTTAATAAGAAGAATTACGAAGTAGGGATACCGGAGCAGAATCGTGTGCTTCACCGAGGAGTTCAAAGCATCGAGTCCCAAGGTCGTGTCGCTAAACAACCAAGACTGATTCCAGACAAACCCATAACTGCATGACCACGTCTTATAAACAAGCCTCAGAATGGCCATCGACGTGGTCAACCTCACCGAGGCGGATATTCCCGAAGCGATCGAGGTAATCCAGCGGGCGTTTGCCGACGATCCATATTTCAAATGGGTTTTCAACCCAGCCAAGGTATGTAGCATGGTAACGGAGTACGCAGAAGACACCGTTGAGAAATCCCGCCAGATCGAAATCCTGCAGATCAAACATTGAAGCTAACATGTTCTTTGTCCCATGACGCGGTCGAGTCAACGCCGACCTGCGTCCCGCGTCACCTGAGATTTCCAACCACATAGTTCAATAAGCAACGGAATTACGGTTCACTTGAAGCACGGTGCCGCTGGGGTATCAACAACGCCATCTTCCAAGTCGCCAGAGAGAGCGATGGAAACGGCTCCCCCTCTCGCGTGCTCGGTGTCTCATGCTGGCTTCCGCCTCATCCCGTCGCAGAGCCTGAAAGCTGGTACAGCTGGGCGCAGAGCTGGTTGCTGTCGTTCCGGCAGGTCCTGAACAATGTGCGCCACAGGGGCCGAGGCGGGCTCAACACGCGCCGCTATTGGATCTGGAAGGATCGTCAACGGGAGGCGCAGCGTCAGATCTGGGATGATCCGCGGGGGTACTATTTCTGTAACATTGTGGCGGTCAGTCCGGAGGCTCAGGGAAAGGGAATCGGGAAGAAATTGTTTCAGGCTGTCACTGATCGAGCGGACGAGGAAGGGGTGAAGTGTTATCTGGAGAGCTCAAAAGAGGTGCCCAATGTGGAGATTTATCGGCGGATGGGGTTCGAGATGGCCAAGGCGATGGAGTGCAGGGATGGGGAGGATGCGTGCATGGTATGTTTGTTTCCAAAGGGCTGGTCAAGAGTCTTGTTATTAACGTTGCCTGTAGCTGTATTGCATGGTCCGAAATCCAAAGTCCAAGCGTTAAGGAGAGGCAGGCGAGATCTTATTGCTGTGGTGCGGCATTTACGGCAAATGCCGCGATCGATATGCAGAGGGATTATCCTCGAATTGGATTTCGGCAATCTATTGAATATGATTATGAACAAGGTTGGGGGCCAATATGAGCACTGACCAATGTGAGCACTGATAACATCTCCTGATCGTAATATCAAAGTGTAACGACTTGATGTGATGCCCAGATTAACCTCTGAAAGCACACGAATCACACCAACATGGTCCCCTGTCAAAACGCTGATGATGTATCAATCCATGTAACTTGATCCATAAATGGCCCTTGATCATCAACGGACATATGCCCTCAGACCCAGCTATCTGCCATGTAGGACTTCAAAACGTCAACTCCGATCCCAGCCTCGGAAGGTGCCTGTCGGCCCAGGCCGCCCAATCGTGCTTTGGGATATCTGTCTGCTGGCGACACCGTCTGATCCAGGCAGCAAGCGGAGGACAGGTATTAACAAGAGGATAGGTGGAAGGAATAAAGTACCTACAGGGTATATAGTACAAAGGTCCAGGGTTACAGCATTCCAAAAGCACTAGCAATAACAAAAGTTTTGACCAGGGCGTTTTAGGACATAGTCGCCTAGTGAAACGCGCCATTGTACCAGCAAGAAGCGTAAGGTAAGGAGAACTTCGTAGTTAATCCTTCACCACCGCTAAATCAATATCCACCACAGTTCGTCGAACATCCCCAATCACGGAGAATACCGGAGTCCCGGCCTATCATCGGCCGAAACCTACTGTAAGAGGAACTGGAGGTATTGGAACCGCGGGTGGCTGAAAAGGATAGCGCTATCCCTTCAGTCGTCGTAGAACACTTGTTTCGCGGTTTTACTTTCCGTCAAATGATATATTTTGAAGTAGCTTGGATAGTCTGGCGGTCGTCGTATTGTCGATATGACTTTCAGAATGTGATGCCGCCACTCATTTATCAATCTCTTAGATGGGAAGCTGGGATGGATCGAGACTCTCCAGGTGATGCTTGATGTTGACGCAGCAGACTGTTACGAACTTGGCAGTCCTACCATATCCTTAAACAGATAGATTCAACACTGCAGTTAGCCGCCATTCATGGGACGAGCTAGCAGCACTAAGGAGCAGCACGGACTTGAAATGATTTAGTTACTTAGTTAGTTAACTAGTTAGCTGATACTGGCATGGCTCAGCGGTGATAATACATGGACCAACTAGCCACGAATGATGCCAGGCAGCCATCCAGTGAGTAGATTTGATTTTACTTATTACCATCTTCACTTTCGTTATGACATGAACCATGCTTATGGCCATGCCACTACAGAGGCATGGTACCTCAAGTGATAACTATACATCCAGAGTCTGGGAAACCTCAAGGAATCTGATTTACAAAGGCAACACTATCTCAAATATTCATAAACATGAAGTATGAAGTAGATGATACTAATTTCCACAATAGCCAACCCACCAGGGGCACTTCATATCTGGACTTTCGACGCTACACATACATACCAATACTTAGTATATGAGCTCAATATACAAATCTAGTCCAGACCACCCCTGAGCTCATTGCAAGCTGCACCGATACGGCATTGCATATGGCCCGTGCGCTGAACCCAGCTGTCACCTTTCGAGAGTCGACTTTTGCAAGCTCGAGGGCGTCGGAATAATGTATCCCTGGTGCACTGTGCAGAAGCATGATAAGCTAGTGTGGCTAAAGTGATGTGACATTAGGTACCTTGGTGGCTCCGTGGAAATGGGTAGTATCTGCATC